AGAGAAAGAGTTTCTCTCGAAAGAAGTAACTGGGAGGAAAGTAGAACTAGATGAAGTGTTGCCTCTTGAACCGGAGAGTGGCGCAGCTCAAGAAAATGTTCCTGAGGTGCCTGCACCGACTAGGGAGGAAGTTAATGATGATGATCATGGAACTTCATATCAAGTTGCTACTAAACTTCGTAGGTCCACAAGGACACATTCCGCAACAGAGTGGTACGGCAACCCTGTCTTGGAAATTATGTTGTTAGACAACGGTGAACCTTCGAACTATAAGGAAGCGATGGCGGGCCTAGATTCCGACAAATGGCTGGAAGCCATGAAATACGAGATAGAATCCATGTATGAAAACGAAGTATGGACTTTGACTTACTTGCCCGATGATCGGCGAGCCATAGAAAATAAATGGATCTTTAAGAAGAAGACCGACACGGATGGTAATGTAACCATCTATAAAGCTCGGCTTGGCGCTAAGGGTTATCGACAAGTTCAAGGGGTTGACTACGATGAGACTTTCTCACCCGTAGCGAAGCTGAAGTCCGTCAGAATCATGTTAGCAATTGCCGCATTCTATGATTATGAGATATGGCAAATGGATGTCAAAACGGCATTCCTTAATGGTTTCCTTAAGGAAGAATTGTATATGATGCAGCCGGAAGGTTTTGTCGATCCTAAGAATGCTGACAAGGTGTGCAAGCTCCAACGCTCGATCTATGGGCTGGTGCAAGCATCTCGGAGTTGGAACATTCGTTTTAATGAGATGATCAAAGCGTTTGGGTTTACGCAGACTTATGGAGAAATCTGCATTTACAAGAAAGTGAGTGGGAGCTCTGTAGCATTTCTCATATTGTATGTGGATGACATACTGTTGATAGGAAATGAATAGAATTCTTGGAAAGCATAAAGGCCTATTTGAACAAGTGTTTTTCAATGAAGGATCTTGGAGAAGCTGCTTACATATTAGGCATCAAGATCTATAGAGATAGATCGAGACGCCTCATTGGTCTTTCACAGAGTAAGTACCTTGACAAGATATTGAAGAAGTTCAATATGGATCAGTCAAAGAAGGGGTTCTTGCCTGTATTGCAAGGTACAAGATTGAGCACGGCTCAATGCCCGACCACGGCAGAAGATAGAGAAAAGATGAGTGTCGTCCCCTATGCCTCGGCCATAGGGTCTATCATGTATGCTATGTTGTGTACCAGACCTGATGTAAACCTTGCCGTAAGTTTGGTAGGAAGGTACCAAAGTAATCCCGGCATGGAACACTGGACAGCAGTCAAGAATATCCTGAAGTACCTAAAGAGGACTAAGGATATGTTTCTCGTTTATGGAGGTGACGAAGAGCTCGTCGTAAAGGGTTACGTCAATGCTAGCTTCGACACAGATTTGGATGACTCTAAGTCACAAACCGGATACGTGTATATTTTGAATGGTTGGGCAGTAAGCTGGTGCAGTTGCAAGCAAAGCATTGTGGCGGGATCTACATGTGAAGCGGAGTACATGGCAGCCTCGGAGGCAGCACAAGAAGCAATCTGGGTGAAGGAGTTCATTACCGACCTAGGAGTCATACCCAATGCGTCAGGCCCGATGACTCTCTTCTGTGACAATACTGGAGCTATTGCCCTTGCCAAGGAGCCCAGGTTTCACAGGAAGACCAGGCATATCAAGCGTCGCTTCAACTCTATTCATGAAAGTGTTCAAAATGGAGACATGGATATTTGTAAAGTACATACGGACCTGAATGTGGCAGATTCATTGACTAAACCTCTCCCTAGAGCAAAACATGATCAACACCAGAACTGTATGGGTGTTCGATTCATCACAATGTAACTAGATTATTGGCTCTAGTGCAAGTGGGAGACTATTGGAAATATGCCCTAGAGGCAATAATAAAATGGTTATTATTATATTTCCTTGTTCATGATAATTGTCTATTGTTCATGCTATAATTGTGTTATTCGAAAATCGTAATACATGTGTGAATACATAGACCACAACACGTCCCTAGTGAGACTCTAGTTGACTAGCTCGTTGATCAAAAGATAGTCATGGTTTCCTGACTATGGACATTAGATGTCATTGATAACGGGATCACATCATTAGGAGAATGATGTGATGGACAAGACCCAATCCTAAGTATAGCTCAAAGATCGTGTAGTTCGTTTGCTATAACTTTTCCGAATGTCAAGTATCATTTCCTTCGAGCATGAGATTGTGCAACTCCCGGATACCGTAGGAGTGCTTTGGGTGTGCCAAACGTCACAACGTAACTGGGTGACTATAAAGGTGCACTACGGGTATCTCCGAAAGTGTCTATTGGGTTGGCACGAATCGAGACTGGGATTTGTCACTCCGAATGACGGAGAGGTATCTCTGGGCCCACTCGGTAATGCATCATCATAATGAGCTCAATGTGACCAAGTGGTTGATCACGAGATCATGCATTACGGTACGAGTAAAGTGACTTGCCGGCAACGAGATTGAATGAGGTATTGGGATACCGACGATCGAGTCTCGGGCAAGTAACGTACCGATTGACAAAGGGAATTGTATACGGGATTGATTCAATCCTCGACATCGTGGTTCATCCGATGAGATCATCGAGGAGCATGTGGGAGCCAACATGGGTATCCAGATCCCGCTGTTGGTTATTGACCGGAGAGTCGTCTCGGTCATGTCTGCGTGTCTCCCGAACCCGTAGGGTCTACACACTTAAGGTTCGGTGACGCTAGGGCTGTTGAGATATTAGTATACGGTAACCCGAAAGTTGTTCGGAGTCCCGGATGAGATCTCGGACGTCACGAGGAGTTCCAGAATGGTCCGGAGGTGAAGATTTATATATATGAAGTCAAGTTTCGGCCATCGGGAAAGTTTCGGGGGTAATCGGTATTGTACCAGGACCACCGAAAGGGTCTCGGGGGTCCACCGGGTGGGGCCACCTATTCCGGAGGGCCCCATGGGCTGAAGTGGGAGGGGAACCAGCCCCTAGTGGGCTGGTGCGCCCCCCATGGGCCTCCCTCTGCGCCTAGGGTTGGAAACCCTAGGGGTGGGGGCGCCCCACTTGGCTTGGGGGGCACTCCACCCTCCTTGGCCGCCGCCCCCCTTGGAGATCCCATCTCCTAGGGCCGGCGCCCCCTAGGGGTCCTATATATAGTGGGGGGAGGGAGGGAAGCCTCACCCTAGCCCCTGGCGCCTCCCTCTCCCTCCCGTGACACTTCTCCCTCTCCCTGAGCTTGGCGAAGCCTTGCCGAGATCACCGTTGCTTCCACCACCACGCCGTCGTGCTGCTGAATCTCCATCAACCTTTCCTTCCCCCTTGCTGGATCAAGTTGGAGGAGACGTCTTCCCAACCGTACGTGTGTTGAACACGGAGGTGTCGTTCGTTCGGCGCTAGGTCATCGGTGATTTGGATCACGACGAGTACGACTCCATCAAACCCGTTCACTTGAACGCTTCCGCTCGCGATCTACAAGGGTATGTAGATACACTCCCCTCTCCCTCGTTGCTAGATGACTCCATAGATTGATCTTGATGATGGGTAGAAAATTTTAAAATTCTGCTACGTTCCCCAACATTTTTCTCCCGTCGCAGTCGGTCTCGCTGGTTAAATTTATGGTCAAAGTTGGACCTCGGAAAGCGCAGACGCACTATATTTTGAATTGGAGGGAGTATAAGGAACCGCAAGACATGAACTTAATACATAAATATATATGATAAATTAAATATATATGATAAATTGAATGCTATTTGAATGACTGACCACACAGAACGCACAAAACACACACATGAAAAAGAGGAGTTAGATTGTCTCGTCGTGAGCACAAAAGATGCACTTCTTGCTTCCTTGCCAATTGCGACGGACGAGGTTATCTTTGGTCACTACAACTCCCCTCTGAAGATATCACATGATGATTTTATTTTTTAGTGAAATCTCTAACTTCCAAATTTTCTTGTTATTATCCACTGGGACCTTTAAATTCATGAGCGCATGGTACATAGAGTCAACTGTGAAGGATCATATGTAGTGAGGTTCCAATTAAACACATCTTGCCCTTGTGCCAGGTTAACCGAAATCAATCGGGATAAATTTTTTGTCAGATCAAATCTTGCGTGAAATAAATGCCCGGCGGGGATGAAGTGAGCACCGTCGCAAGAGTATCACTCTTATCATGAACAATGCGGTACAAAGCTGGATATTATTCTCGAAAGTTGGCATCGCCTAGCCAGTTGTCCTTCCAGAAACGAATCTTCGACCCGTCATGTTACCGCGAAGGATCCGAAGCGGAAAAGATCCATTAGACCAGCCCAAAGTGCATCAGGGTTTGTCAAAACGACACCCTCAGAGAGTAATTTGAACAACCTCAATAAGTAAGACATCAGAGAGTAATTTTCCAAACAACGCTTCATGAAATTTCATGCGTACACCATTTCCAATTTATTTTGGTTATGGCCGCGTGTACATTTCTTAGATTATTTTGAAGCGCAGAAAATGCATTTTCGATGAAAAGAAAACGAAGGGTTCCATGGACCTCAGCCACCAGATGCACTTTCCGGGGTCATTTCATGCTGATCTTGTCGTCTGGGGTTAATTTTGTAATCATGGCCTCGCCTCGGCATCGTAAATGTCGTCGCATCGCTCCTACAAGAGCAGAAGCTGCGCGCGTCGGTCGCTGCAGTAATAATCAGAATCAGGGCACGGCGCACGCCGCGTCGTACCGTACGCACCCGTCCCGGCTCCCGAGTTGCTTGCACGAAACGGTGCGGCCTCGCCATCTCCATCCACCTCGCAGTCACACCAGCTCAGCACTCAGCAGCAGCTTCTGCTCCGCTCGCCCCCCTCCACCCCCACCAGCAGCCAGCGACCGAGCCCCCCGTCCGGCTCTATTCTGCTCTACTAACCGATAGTTGCCCCGTCCGTGCGCCTCGACGCCGCCGGCGAGCGAGCGAATGCCGGGGCTCTAGCGCTCCGCGTATCGCCGACGACGGGCGGGCGGGCGGCCATGAGGAAGCACCTGCCGCAGCCGGGCCGCCACAGGTGGATGCGCTCGCTGCTGCTCGCGCTGCCGCTCCTCTCGCTCCCGATCCTCTACGCCGCGCTCGGGCCGGCGCGCACGCAGCAGCCGCCCTCCCCGCCGCGGCTCGGGGGGAGGCAGCAGCAGCAGCAGCCCCTGCCGCCGCCCAGGCTGGCGTACCTCATCTCGGGCGGCCCCGGCGACGGCCCGCGGATCCGCCGCCTCCTGCGGGCGCTCTACCACCCCTGGAACTACTACCTCGTCGGGGTCTCGGGGGAGGAGGAGCGCGCGGATCTCGAGGCCTTCGTGCGCGGCGAGGAGGCGCCCCGGAGGTACGGCAACGTCAGGGTCGCGGCGCCGGGGGAGTGGCCCGTGGTCTCGCGCCGGGGCCCGACCGAGCTGGCCGCCACGCTCCACGGCGCCGCCCTGCTGCTCAGGGAGTTCGACGGGTGGAGCTGGTTCATCAATCTCAGCGCCTCCGACTACCCGCTCATGCCCCAAGATGGTAATTTCAGCTCCTTCCTGGATGGATTGCCCCCGATTGGCTTGCAATTTTAAGCGCGCCTTTGCTTGTTAATTTTAGAGTATCTAGTACACGTGTAGCTACCAAAACTACAGATTGTGCTCCTTAGTGCTAGCTTGTTGTAGCTTCTCTTCATTTAGGAGCTTTGGATTATGGATTTCTTTGTGTGACCTATCCGTTTCACCAAGCTTGGGTCTCCTATCTAGTTCTCTGCCGTCTGACATCTAGTTCTCCAAGTGGTAGTTGCCCTTATGATGCTGCTCTGTAAGGTTTTCATTTGCAGAACTCCTTACAGCCAGTTATTCTGTTATGTTTTAAAATAGTGCTATTTTGCCCTTCGGTGTAGTCCACTATTGCTAAAAGATAAGTTCAGACTGAGTTTAGAACTTGAGATACATTACCATGTTCAACACACTGGCGATCCAGTTATATCTTGACATTTTTTCGGAAACTTGGTGTGTCTCCGTAACTCTGCAACGACACTCAAACTGCACCAAGTAGTATTTCAGCTGTTGCCATTGTCTCAATTAAATTGCAATAAATACTGCAGTATTGGTGTTCCTTTCGTTGAAAATATTGCAGTATTGGTTTTCCTTTCGTAGAAAATACTGCAATAAATACTAAGAATTTAATGAGTTAGGTTATTGGGCTAGACATTATTGGTGTTCCTTTCACAGAAAATGTTGTGATGTGGTAAAAAGTACTAGTAGTGAACTTCATCAATTTGTGTAAATTCTACTGGAATATTACTGATGTTACATCAACTCGAGTGGTGGTGCTGTATGTCTATTTATAATATCATTACGATTTTAAGGAATGAGTGTCAGAGCAAAGAGCCAAATATAGCGTGTGCATCTGGCCTCATTTGCACTTCTTGATGTTATGTTGGGATTTTACGTACAGTTGTACACTAAGAAAGTCAACCCAGCTGCAAGACAGGAAGTAGATGCAGCAGTTTAGGACATGAAGCGTATCTTTTAGTAATTGCTAAGGTTTCTATGAGTAAAGAGTTATGTTAGGAAATGATAGGTCTCAGAGTTTGAATTAGATGAGACCATGAGGATTGAGTTAGCCGTGGGTCTCCTATATAGACTGGCGATTGCTATGCTATGTACTCGTGATAGCCAACCAAACGATAAGAAGTAGGAGTATTTTCCTAGCTATCTTCTATTCCCTCCGTTCACAAATATAAAATGTTCTAACTTTTTTCTAAATCGGATGTATATAAACACGTTTTAGTGTATTTGTTCACTCATTTCAGTCTGTATGTAGTCCATATTGAAATATCCAAAACATCTTATATTTGTGAGCGGAGGGAGTATCTTTCTGCCCTAGTTATCAATACAGCGCCAGCCACGGCGCATGTCCACTTGCTGGTTTTTGGCCCAAGAGCTCCCCCAGGTCTTGACTAAGCCTTGAGATCCGGAGCTTTATCGCTTGAGTTCACAATTTTTACCTGGTTGTTACAGCAAATTGCTGATGTAGACCTGTATGTTGATCACATTTATGATTGCAGTGCTGTACCAAAATAGTTGGTGTCACTTCTGAAACTAACATACCTGTTCTTGCCCTTGACAGACCTCCTTCATATCTTCTCATATCTTCCAAGAGATCTGAACTTTATCGACCACACAAGCAATATTGGTTGGAAGGAGTAAGGATATTTATTTCGGTGTGTTTCTTAGCGATCTGATATGTTCTTTATCATGATTCTTTGGTTGCATGTGCAGGCATCAAAGGGCTAGACCAATCATCGTGGATCCAGCATTGCAGATCTCAAACAAAACTGAGGTTGTGACAACAAAGGAGAAAAGAAGCTTGCCTTCAGCTTTCAAAATATTTGTAGGTATTGTCTCATGCTTGTTTTGTACTTAACACGGTCGAAATATTCTGCACTAATTCAAAATAATACTTTGCTGTTGCCTCTCACCTTCTATTTCTGTTAAGAATAATCTCTTGAGTGCAATACTGATAGATTCCCATACATTACTGTGGAATAAATTAGTATATCGCTGTAGAACCATAATAACATGTTGTTTTCCTTCAAGAAAACGCAAAGGATTTTGTGTCTTGTTTGCATTGATGGATAAAGAGAGTTTGTGTACAAGCCCAGAGAAGGGCCACACCCGGGAGTTACAACACAACACCCCTAAGTTGGAAGAAGTGTTGCTAGACCCACTGCCCCTGCTTTCACCCACAGTCGGGCCTCAGCCCTAATAGTGTCAAGCAGGCTAGCAATGTGAGGCTGCGGGCTGTCGAAGATGACCGAATTTTGTGTTATCTGGGAAATTTTCCTTGATGAAGCCACTATTCTCTTGAAGATGGAACTGACACGTGCCTGTGTTGACTGCCAACAGCCAAATGCTACTCTTTGTTGTCGTGTAAATTTTGAGCTCTAACCGATGACCTTATTCTCCCGATGCAGGTTCGTCGTGGGTAATATTGAGCCGATCATTCCTGGAGTTCTGCATATTGGGATGGGACAACCTTCCTCGCACGCTGCTCATGTACTTCACCAATTTCCTGTCGTCCTCGGAGGGATACTTCCACACGGTGATCTGCAACTCAAAGTACTACCAGAACACCACCATCAACAATGATCTCCGTTTCATGGCGTGGGACAACCCCCCTCGGACGCACCCTCTCAACCTGACAGCCGAGTACTTCGACGCAATGGCGAACAGCGGGCTGCCATTTGCGCACTCTTTCACGCGTGACGATCCGGTCCTGGATATGATTGACACTGAGCTGTTGAAGCGAGCGCCCGACCGCTTCACAACAGGTGGATGGTGCCTGGGTAGCCCGGTGGGCGGCAAAGACCCTTGTACTGTTTTCGGAAGGTCATTTGTTCTCAGGCCGATTAAAGGTTCGGGGAAGCTAGAGAAGTTGTTGTTGAAACTTTTGGAACCTGACAACTTCAGGCCTAAACAGTGTATATAACGCTCTTGTTACATGTAGCCAGCTTTTACGGAGTAGTATTTTGGTAGTGTGCGCTGTGCGGGGGCAAAAGTGTTCCTGAGGTGGTTGGTTATCATTGTTCTGGCGGCAGGTACAGTTACACGGCGTGCTTTTGTATACTTGCAACTGGAAGCTCGAAGAGTGACTGAAATCAGACATGTACACACTTCATGTCCCATCTTTTCATGGATGTGCATATACAGATTACAGAAATCCATAATCCAAAGAAAACACAATCTGTTTACTGACATTTGCTTCTCTGCTCTCTAGGGTTTCTTTTCTACCTTAAACTCGGAAAATGGTTGTTTCAACTATAAATTACCATGAGACTTTTGACGACCGCCGTTGGATGACTAAAAGTGTCAGGACAAGTTTGATAGGGACATTTGAGACAGATTTGGTGACCCGTGTTGCTGCGTTGGATTGCTCTTACCATGTACTACCTCCGTCTGAAAAAGCTTGTCGCTCAAATGGATGTATCTAGCTTCAAGTTAGTGCTAGATACATTCATTTGAGGAACAAGCTTGAGACAAGCTTTTCCGGACGTAGGGAGTAGGAAATACTCGAAGATAGCGAGAAACCCGTAAAACTTGAGAAGTGAAGTGGATAGAGTGAAAAACTTGGGAATTTGATTATGGATCTTGAGATATGGTTCATCCCTAACTATCCGCATGTGCCCCTCTAGATAGTATGGTTCTTGTATTCACTATGAGTCTTGAATCAACTAAAATGCATAAATTACTTTTTTTTAAATGTAAAATTCGTAAATTACTATCAGCTCGAGGAACTAACCATTTGTAATCACAATAGGCAGGTATCTCCATTGAGCTTTTCACTATCAAAATGACGAAGCTAGGATCACCCGCTACCCCTCCCCTTGCTACCCCCATAGCCGAGAGAATGAGCCACGACCCTTGATTCGCTGCTCGTTGCAGAGCCAAGCACACGACCTCTCCATCCAGACCACAAGAAACCTAACCATCTGAGCTATGCATGTCTTCAAGAAGTGGAGAGGCCATGGACCATATTGGTCATGCACAAACGCTCGGGACGACATGAGTGTGCATATCCTGTGGTCCCACCTCTAAAATGCCAGTACCATGCTACCATCTTTCAAGAAAGAAATTTAATTATTTCAAAAAGAATTGCTTTTCAAGTGAATATTCATGAGACATGTGTCTAAAATTACAAGAAATTTCAAATATTTTTTTTGCATATTCAAAGTTTGAAATTGCTAGCCAGGCCTGCCGCCTGGTAAGAAATTTCAAATATTAATTCGGAATACACATTTTTTTTTACTAACCGGGCTACTCCTTTCCATTAAATTTTACTAACACATATAGTTCACGAGCGACCATAGAGATAAAGGAGACGGGAAAGAAAGAGTAGCGAGTTCGGGCATCAGGAAACCACTGCTCATGCCTACAATCAAGACATGAACCATAATACCTGATACCACCCTTCATCGCAAAGCTACAACCTAGACCAGCGAACAACCAGTCTCAAAATAGCATAACAGGCAACAAAGCTCGTGAAAAAAGAACAGACCAAAACGACTAAGGGCGATGCAGGCTACAACTAACATCCCAGCAAATCTACGGCTTCACTCCTCGCGGGTATCAGCTCCAGGCAAAGGAGGGCCACACAACAACACCATATGAGAATCGTTCTCCTTCAGCAGCTCCGCACCGCGCTTAACAGCCAAGAATGCAGCCAAGACCATCAACTAGCATCTTCAGAGGCTCGGGCGAGACAAGTTCCACTAGTTCCAGTGATTTTTGACGAAAACGGCTGTTTCCTTTACATTTTATTGTCTTGATCTCTATACATCAATAATTTTACTTCAAGTAGCTTTGCTGAATGGGCAGTGATCTTTACAGTTTACACGATGGTGAAGTTTGAAACAATCTTAAATTCTTAATGTCATACCTGTAAAGGCGTAAGCGCAATAGATATGGTTTTCTTCTCGTGATATAACCAAGCAGAAGTGTAGCAGCTGGATATCTTACTTCATTCTCTCTGCAACAAAATGTACAGCAGTAAATGGGATTACACGCTTCAGTGTGAATGCTATCGATGCACAAGCTCCACCAATTTTCTGGCCATATGTATGATTTCTTGTACCACCGGCTTTGAGTTGATGTTCGATTTTGTTTTACTGATGAATTCCAGCCTGTTCCTGGATATTTCCACCTTTGATGAGCTTACACTCAACAACGTGCATTTTACAAAACATATACGTAGATATATCTAACCAATATGTATAATGACCCAACTGGACCATGGTTACGAAATCACATGAAGCAAATCATGCGAGAAGCATATGCCCATTCCAGAAGTTGCAGCGAAGTACTGTTAGTAACTACTCTAAGCATCCATGGTAGCAAAGGGAGTGCATTGAAGCCTTACAAGTTACAAGCCTTTGCTCTCGTTCTTTATTTGCTTCCTGTCTTCGGACTTGTGCTTCTCGGCATCCTTCACCATGCGTTTCTTCTTCACCACGCGCTCGAACTCCTCCTTGCTCAACCAACCTTCCTCGTTTTCCTTCTTTACTTGCTTCTTGTCCTCGGACTTGTACTTCTCAGCATCCTGCAACATGCGCCTCTTCTTTACCATGCCCTCGATCTCCTTCTTGCTCAGCCAACCCTCGCCATTTTCCTTCTTCATTTGTTTCTTGTCCTTGTCGTTTTCCATCTTTATTTTCTTTATTTGTTTCTTGTCCTCGGACTTGTACTTCCCAGCATCCGCATCATGCGATTTATCTCCTCCTTCCTCAGCCCACCCTTGTCGATGGTGACGCTGCTCTTGTTTCCAGTCGTCAGGTCCTCCGCCGACACCCTCATGATACCGTTCGCTTCGACTTCATATGTCACTCTGAGTCGTGCCATGCCCTTAAGCTCTGGGGGAATACCAGAGACCGTGACCTGTCCCAGGAGGTTGTTGTCCTTGGTAAACTCCCCTTCACCTTCGTACAACGGGAAGGTCACGCTGGTCTGGTAGTCGTATATGGTTGTGTAAGGCCCATCTCTCTTAACGGGGATGGTGGTGTTCCTGGGTATCAGCACGCTCATGATACCAGGGTCACCCATGATACCACTTACTATCTCTACCCCGAGCGAGAGTGGTGTGACGTCAAGAAGGATCAAATCCTGCACCTTCTGGTTGCCCTCACCGCTGAGGGTGGCGGCCTGTACAGCAGCGCCAATGGCGACAGCCTCGTCAGGGTTGATGCTCTTGCATAATTTCTTCCCGTTGAAGAAATCATTAAGCAGCTGCTGAATCTTGGGGATCCTGGTGGAGCCTCCCACAAGCACGACATCGTGGATTTGAGACTTCTCCACCTTGGCATCGCTGAGGCACTTCTCGACGTGCTCAATGCACTTGCGAAAGAGGCCCATGTTAAGCTCCTCAAACCGGGCACGAGTGATGGTCCCATAGAAGTCAATGCCATCGTGGAGCGAGTCAATCTCAATTTTGGCCTGCACTGTGGAAGTTAGCATCCTCTTTGCCCTCTCGCAAGCCATCCTCAGCCGCATGAGCGCCCTCGGGTTGCTTCTGATGTCACTCTTGTGTCTCCTAAGAATATCCTGCACGAAGTGCTGCACCATCTGGCTGTTAAGATCCTCCCCACCAAGGTGAGTGTCACCAGCAGTGGCCTTGACCGTACAGATTCCCTTGTCAATATTGATAACCGAGATATCCAAGGTACCGCCGCCAAGATCAAATATGAGCACCATCTTCACTTCACTGCTGCTGGACGTCCTGTCAAGACCATAAGCGATGACTGCAGCTGAGGGCTCGTTGATGATGCGCATGACGTTGAGGCCAGCAATGGTGCCGGCGTCAAGGGTAGCCTGGCGCTGGGAGTCATTGAAGTAGACCGGGACAGTGATGACGGCGTTCTTCACCGCTGTGCCTAGGTAGGCCTCGGCCACCTCACGCATCTTCATCAGCAACATGGAGGAGATCTCTGCAGCAACGAACTGCTTCTCCAACCCCCTGTACTGCACTACGATCACCGGCCGGTCACCAGGACCTTGAATGACTTTGAAAGGCCATAGCTTGATATCACTTTGTACGGACGTGTCACTGAATCGCCGGCCAATAAGTCGCTTTGCGTCTGAAGAAAATAGTAGTGGTTAATTTCATGAATAAATATCACAAGGATGATCTTACAGAACTAGTACAAATTTAGGTATCAGTTGCATCACAACGAACATATTTTAAGTCCAGTTCGCAGAACTATAGATTTGCGAACTATCATTAAACTACAGCTGTGCAATGCATTTCCATGAAACAGGATCCTGTATGTCATACTCGATGTTGTTTTATGATATGGTTGATGGCTAAGCGTGCAGTTCTCTAAAATTGGTTCTTATAGTTTTACGGAATTTGCATCGAGCTTTCAAAACCACTCATTCCAATGAGAATTCAAATGACATAGCAAAAGTAATAAGCCATTCAATGTTTGCTCGTCAAAAACCTGCAATCTTTCCTGGATATATTCAGATTATAATATAGAGGTTGTCCGTTGTCCTGTAATATTATGCAGTGAGATAATAATTTGTTGGTTTTCAGTGACACTAAATAATTTTGGTGAATAGGAGTACTTAACAGTTGATGAGATAATCCTTTCATCACAAACAACGAAAAGGGCAAGGCAAAAAGGGGAAAGACGGAGGGATCTGAACGGCGGACTAGGCTCAGAGAAGACGGCGGGGATCTGAACGGCGGACTAGGCTCAGCATCTTGGGGACTCTACTGCGGTCTATACATGTAACGCCGTGGCACAATCCCGTGGACCTGAGAAACCTAACGAGTATAGAACAGCAGATCGAAGTGCTGCCAAGAATTCAAGCACTAGCTAGCACGAAGACAGCTCTGGACGTCCCTCCGCTTTAGCCGGTGGCGTGTAGACATATGACCGACCATCTTGAGGGCACCAAGTCTATGTATATGTAACACAAACACACAACTACACAAGGCCGGGTGTAGCTCAATTGAACTGGTGCAGGATCAGATCAGCGTCAGGGGTTCTTAGTTCTTACCGAAGACGGTGTTGACGGAGTTCATTGCGGCCTGGTTCATGGCCGCGTCGCCGATGAGACGGCAGGTGTCGGTGAAGGCAACGCAGGACGGCGTGGTGAGGTTGCCCTGGTCGTTGGGGATGACCTCGACACGGTTGTGCGACGGCCGCCACACGGCCACGCAGGAGTAGGTCGTCCCGAGGTCGATGCCGATCGCCGGCCCCTCGTCCTTCGCGCCCGCCATCTCCGCGCAACAGAGGCGTACGGAAAAGGAAGATTGAAGTAGGGCAGGGCGTGGAATTTAGGAAGCCGAAGGATTTAAAATAAGCAGGAGTATTTTTTTTTTTGGTGGCACTTTCAGATTTCGGGTTGTAAGACTATCCACACTGGGAGTAACATAGATGATAAACATTACACATATCTAGACAAAATAGATGATGTACTAAGCAATTAACGGAGTAAGGAAGACATGTGGTAACATAGCTACTACCTCTGTCTTTGTGTATAAGTCATTCGCGTAGTTCTAGGCCGACAGTTTAACTACCTAAATATGTACCACCGTAAAAAAATATAAGAGCTTTAGATCACTAAAGTAGTGATCTAACGCTCTTATATTTGTTTACGGAGGGAGAATTATATGTGACAAAAAATATATATTTGGAAACTACATCCGTGTAGAAATGTAGTGATATATTTTTCATGACATATAACACATATTTAATTTCTCAAATCGATGACCTAGAACTACGTGAATAACTTATACACCGAAACGGTGGTAGTAGTTAGTACTAGTAGTATGAGGAACATCACACTTATGAAGGCAAGATATCTATAATCTAATAAATTAAGTGTTGCATGACATCACACATATGTTACTCCCCACTATAGAGATAGTAACATAAACTGATAACACATGCATGTTATTAATCTAAATTACTCCCTACTGTGGCTAGTCTAATGGGAGCATCATAGTTTCTATGATGCATGTCAACTAGGCAATTTTGATGAGGTGTCACAAATTAAATGAAAAAAAAGGGTTGAGTATCATATCATGATACCGTATCATAATGAATGTTGGAGACATATCAACATGATGGTCATTATTATTAGAGTGTTCCCTATTAGTGAGGAAGAGAATGGTGGAAACTAATGAATCCTCGAGAAAGTGGGGATGAGGTCTATGAGACTGTTCTAAAAAATGAGAGAGAGAAAAGAGAAGAGCAACACTACTATTCATTTTTCACACTTGTGCTTCAAAGTAGCACCATGTTTTTCATATGAGGGTCTCCATGATATGTCACTTTCTTATACTAGTGGGATTTTTACATTATAGAGCTTGACTTGTATATTTCGATGATGAGCTTTCTCAAATGCTCGAGGTCTTCATGAGCAAGCAAGTTGGATGCACATTCACTTAGTTTCATATAAAGAGCTTTTCATACACTTATAGCTCTAGTGCATTCGTTGCATGACAATCTCTACTCCTCGCATTGACATCGATCGTAAGGCTTCTCCATTACCTAACGATCAGCCGCGTCGATGTGAGATTTTCTCTATTTTTGTCCTCCCTTATAAACCCCAATCATCATTCTCTTGCCATCCAAGTGCTAAGTCCATGGCTCACGCTCATTTATTGAGTGAAGTTGAAAAGGCTTAAGCAAGAAAAAATATGATCCAATTGCTTGGTTTGCCACCGGGGAGTTCATGATTTATAATTTATATTAGGAAGACCGAGCTATGCCATGCATACAATATTAAATGTTTAGGAATAATGTTCTTTAGCATTTTCTATTTTGAAAAGCAATGATTATTTTCTTGTATTCTTGCATATTATAATTTTGATATCAAATCAATGAAATAATGCTTTAATTCAATCTCTTCCCATTATTCATACATCAAATGATTACATGGTCAAGATTGTGCTAGGTAGCATTTCACATTAAAAATTATCTTTGTGTTATCATTTACCTACTCAGGGACGAGCAAGAATTAAGCTTCAGATTGTTGATACGTCTCCGATATCTATATATTTTTGCTGTTTCATGCCATTATCTTACTACTTCCACATACTTTTTGAAAAAAAATATTTGGACTAACATATTAACCCAGTGCCAAAGGTCAATTCTTGTTTTCTGCCATTTGGGGGGTTTTAGGTGAAAAAATCACAGAGCCGGAATGGCCTGAAATTTTACGTCGATTTTTATGGAATATATCTTAATTTTTGGCGCAGGAATCAACGCAAAAGGGGGCCCACGGGCTCCACAAGGCAGGGGGCATGCCCACCCTCCCTAGGGTGCTCTGGGGTGGCTTGTGGGCACCCCGTAAGTCGGTTGAAGTTCTCC